CACCCACAGCCCGCCGAGCCAGGTCCTAGGCATGGGGTGTGCCCAGGCCTCTCCGCAGTTACCAAGATCACCTTCCTGTGCCTGGTTTGCTGCTGCTTAGACCTCTTTCTCCCCCAACAGGGGGCGTAAGGCCGCAGTGTGGGAAAGTGAGGATGGGGGAGGCCGGGCACACCGGGGCCGCCCCCAGGCTCCGAGCTCCGCAAAGGCGCTCGTGTTTGAGCTACCTGGGAAAGTAAACAGGTAAACACTGGGCCGCCTTGGAGGGCCACTTGTCCTCGAGTGGGAACACTTAGCCTGTGTACATTCACCCCCAACCCCAACCCCGGGGCCTCAGCCGATTGTTCGGCCCCCGCCGCCCTCTGCAGCCTCCAGCGGTTGGGTCTCTTGGGAGCCCCGAGCCTCCGAGAAGAGCTTCGCGGCCTGAGAAGCCTCCCAAAGGAGAAAGACTCTCTCCCTCCCCTCCTCCACCTCCCGTCGGGGCCTGCAACGCCCCATCCTGAACGTGGGAAGAAGGAATACAGAGCTCGGGATGTGTAAGGAACATGGAGCCCCATCGCTGAAAACAAAGACCAGGGCCAGAGGACCTCGGGCCGCTCAGGTGGCCCTGGCAGGGGTCCTAGGTGGAGTTCGTGCATCAAAGAGAGCCAAGCCTGTCTCCCTCCGGCCTAGAACATTCTGTGATCAAACTTCCAGCGCCCGTCTCAACTTCGTCACCAAGTGTGCAGCAGACACGCTCAGGGCAGAGCGCTGGCAGCTCTCGGAATGCCAGCCCTGATGCAGCGCGGGACAGCGTCTTCTCCCTGCAGAGGGAACCGGGGAGAAATTACTGAAGAATTCGAGTTGGGAGACTAGAGCATATCCATCCCGCCAGCCAGCTCCTGGGCATGGGGTGTGCCCAGGCTGCCCCTCAATTACCAAAATCTCCTTCCTGCAGAGCAAGAGGACAGCATGTTCAGAAACGACGGGGTGGGGTGGCAGGGACTGTGACGGGGGCAGGGCGACCGGCCGTCGCAGTACTGGAAGGCCCCGGCTCTACAAGGTGGGGATGTGGTGCTGAAGGAGACCTCCTGGGGAGCCCCAGGGTGCCATCACCTGGTTAATTGGGGTGGGAAGGTGCGTTTGTGTCTGGCCCCCACTCTTCCGGCCACCGGGAATCCGGGAGACCCTAGAGCGTGCTCTGGGCACCCGGCCTGCCCTCAGCCGCCAGCTGGTCCCGCACAGGCCTACAGGCGTCCACAGCCTACTCCTGGGGGACTTGCATTTTATGATCTTCCGCTAACAAGCCGAGTTTCTCCCCTTCAATTATGGGCCTCCCAGGGGTCTCCCCGTGCTATTTCCATTGCAAATGTCAGTGCTTTTGGAAGCGGGCGCGGGAACCACCCCGGCGACGAAGAGACCGGGAACATGGACTCGCCGGGTCCCAGGAGAGAGACAATGAGCGCAGGGGCTCAGGCAGAGCATGGCGTCTGCAGGCAAGGCGCAGCTACCTCCAGCTCCCGCCCGCCCGGTGGCCCCCGAGCCAGGGAAGGAAACAAAGCTATGGCACCGGCTGAGCAAGGGCAGAGCAGGGAGTGGAGACCCCGGCGACGGCCTGTGTGGGCCGGGAAGGGTGGCCCTGCAGGTGCTCCTGGAAGGGGGCGGGGCGACCCCGCGTGGGAGGCCTCGGATAGGTTGAGGTCAAGGGGTAGGCGGCGTGAGGAGCAGGGCGGTGGGTGAACTGGGCTGGGGACAGCACTCCCCACCCCCCACCCCCGCCCGCGCCAGGATCAAGTCCCCTGAGCCAGGATTCCCCGTGCGACGGTTGTCTCTTAGGGGCTCTGAGGTACCAGCCCTTAAGGGAGGAGACTTGATCTAGAGTGGCCGTGCTGATCAGATCCAAGGAGAAAGGCCCACCATGGTGGGGGAAGGGAGGGAGACGTTGTAAACTAAAGAGAAAGAGGTGGTTCCTAGGTGAAGAAATGAGCAGGCCCCCTGGAAGGCGTTGCGAGGGGGGGGGGGGGGCTCCTCTCCCCGCAGTGATGACTCATGGGACATGCAGAAAAGGGACACTTCTCGCCAAAGGCCATTTTCCACCCAATCCAAGAATTGGCCTGGCCCTGGCCCTTCCCCAGAACCTGTCCTGATGCTTGAGAGACAACCCACCCTTTCTCCGTACAGAGGAGGATGAGGAGGGACCACAGGAGAATTTCCTGCAGGGCCTGGACTGGGGAACTTTTTCTGGCCAGTTATTTATTCAGCAGCTGAGTAACAATGGCTGGGGCAGGCCCACCCACCCCTGCGTCCCCCCCCCTTTCCAAACTCTCCCCCGCCACTCACTCCTGCAGGACCAACTTCCCTCCTCCCACGTGAAAGGGGGAGGGGGAGGCAAGGAGGAAGGAGGCTAAGAAAGGCAGACAGGAGAAAGAAAAAAAAACACGAGAAGTAATGGGTTCGAGGAACACGATTCAAACCAGTTCTAATTCTTGCGGGGGGGGGGATGGAGGAGGGGGAGAACGGAGAGAAAAGAAAAAGTAGGAAGAGAAAGAGAGAAATGGGGAGCGTCGACATGAAGGGGTTTCCTTAATATTGTGGACGGATTCAGAAATGAATGAAGAGATAGTCCATTGAAAAGGGTTGAATGCCATGACAACTAGGAACAACCTTAGATTTATTCCAAACAGTTAGGACACATTGAAAGAGAGCGTCAATCATGTATTATTTCGCCACTGAAATAAATGCAAAAACCGAGCCGGGACAAAGGCTTCCAACGGGAGCGGGACATTTGTCTACATTTCCCTCATTGTCCGCAGCTTAGCAATCGGTTTGTATTTGTGTTTGCCCGGGTCCGACCACCCAGGACGCGCCGGCGAGGAGCTCCCTCTAACCTGGGCCATTGTCACCCACGTCACATACTGGAGGCCAGGCAGCGAGGGCTGCAGAAAGCCGCCGAGCGGCTCCGGGAGAGACGCCCTCGCCCGGCGCTGGCAACCCGGGGGCGACAGGGCGCAGAGGCGACCGCAGCTGCACGCGAGAAGGACGGGCGCCCGCGCGCGCAGTGGGGCCGGCGCTGCGGCGGCCTGGGCTCCGCGCGGATGCAGAGGCGAGACCAGGGTTTCAGCGGGCGGCCTCGTCCAGCCCCTCCAGCCCCCAGGCCAAGCACCACCCCTGAGCTTAGTAGGGGGCGGAGGTGGGAAAAGGTGGCAACCTCTCCATTCCCCCCTAAGCCCCCCCCCCAAAAAAAAACAACCTGAGGGGAGGGCCAGGAAGTGCGGTGCCGGGAGAGGTGCTGTCCCGGGAAAGTTCTGTTCCCTGGATGGCGAGAAGTTGGGAACATAACCCACACCTAACGCAAGCTGGGAGCCTGGGTCTTGTCCTCGGAGCGCGTCCCTGGGCGTCCAAAAGGGGACAAAATGAAAGGATTCACTTGGAAGAGGAAAACGCAGCATCATCCGCCCGTCCTGCGACCTCCACCCCCGCGGCTTTTGGGGGTCCTCACCCGGGCAGGAGACAGCAACCCCGCCCCCACCCCACCCCACCCCCACCCCCTTCCCGCTCTCCACCACCGCAGGAGTCTCCAGAGGGAGGGGCTAGAGAGAGTGACACATCAAGGGGCAGGAAGGTTGCGGGGCGGTCTGCCTTACCCTCCACCCGGAGACCGGTGCCAGAGGAACCTCGGAGGCATCGGGGCCCGGGTTGGTACCCCGCCTAAGTTAGAACTCCCCACCCCCACTCCGCCCCTCCTGGGGCCGCCCCCGAGCAGCAAGTGAACTGCGCAGCCACCCTCTGGCGCAAAGAGGTGGAGGGGGAGGCGGAGTGAGGGAAATAAATAAGTCTTTAGCAAATAAAGGGGGGCTGTCGTCTGGTGGTGACTTTGGCCGGCCCTAGCCGATCTCTCTTCTGGGTTTCAGGCTCTTTTGCCGTTAACTGGAATCAATTAGTTGCCTTGTCATTTCTAGTACTCATCCTTAAGCCTCAACCAAAATATTGACCTAGGAGGCTTACAGAAGTTGGGCTCTTGCCATTTGAACCGGATCTTGTTGAGGGAGCCACCGGCGATGGGAAGGAGCGATTTCCTCGGCTCAGCAGTCGCCCCCTCCCCCTCTCCAAAGGCGCCACAAATCGCCAATTTTCCGGCTTGCTGGGGGCCGGCGCGCGGGGGCGGGGAGATGGGAACCCGAGAATTTTAAGGAGGATTTTCCCCCCCCCATCCTCTCGGTTTGTTTTGTTTTCTCGCCTCCTCCCCCCGCTTTTTAAAAGATGCAATTTGTTAAAACGGCTTTCAAGTGTGTGGACTCGCGAGCGACAGCGGTGGTCCTTTGTATGTAAATACCGAGTTTTAAAAAAAGGCCTCGCCCCGTCTTTGCAATTAATTGACACGTTACACCTCTCATCTTGCTGTAGAGGGCCGCTGGCTGGGAGCGCGGAGCTCCCCAAAACCCACAATTTCAAATCTGCAAATACTGTCTTCATCCACTTGACTTCCAAGACCCGCCCACACGTGTCCAACCTTTGGGTTTTAATGTCCCCCCCCCCTTTTTCCAACCCTTCTCTCGCTTCCTCCCTCGCTCCCCATCCCTCCCTCTCTATTTCCCTCCCTCTTTCTCTCCCCTCCCCCCCCCTTTCCCCAGGTTCGCGAGTGGAGCCCAGCCTTATATGGACTGATCGCTCGGGCAATGGCCCATTTTTTCCTCGCCACCAGCCGCCACCGCGCGCCGAGCGGCCGCCGAAGCCTGAGCTGACGCCGCCTTGGCACCCCTCCTGGAGTTACAAACGAGGCCTCGCGCTCGGGCCGCCCAGCTCCCTGCATCCATTTCCGCGTCTTTGCAGAGAAGAGAGAGGCGCTGCCAGCGCTGGGCTTTATCCCCCCTCCCCTTCCCCATAGGTTTTTTTTTCTTCTGTTTTTTTTTTAAATAATTATATCAATAATTAAAGCCCATCCGTTCTCCCCTTTCCCATTCCCTCCCCCCCACCACCCCCTCCCCGTCCCAACTGGGGAGCGCCAAGAATTGGCCAAGTGAAGCTACAACTTTGAGGCATACGTTCCGAGGTCCCGAGCCATGTCGCTGACCAACACAAAGACGGGGTTTTCGGTCAAGGACATCCTGGACCTGCCGGACACCAACGATGAGGAGGGCTCGGTGGCCGAGGAGCCGGAGGAGGAGAGCGAGGGGCCAGAGCCCGCCAAGAGGGCCGGTCCTCTGGGGCAGGGCGCCCTGGACTCGGTGCAGAGCCTGCCCCTGAAGAACCCCTTCTACGACAGCAGCGACAACCCGTACACGCGCTGGCTGGCCAGCACCGAGGGCCTCCAGTATTCCCGTAAGTAGCGAAACTTGGCTGCCTGGGTCGCGGCCGCCTCTATGCCTGGGGCCGCGGCGCTGGAATCAGTGGGGGGAGAGAGAGAAAGGCGCTATTGGAGCCCGGATCCCCCACCCTGCGCTCCTGCCAAGATTTGTAAAGCTTGTTTAGGATGCCCGGACTGTTTCCTTCTCATCAAGCGCTCCCAGTCCCGTAAAAGGACTTGGTCTCAGATTTTTTTTTTCAAAGAGAAAAATTAAGAGAAACAGGGCAAGGGAATAGCTCCCAAGGTTACAGAAGCCCACCGGGACTGTAGCTCCCCAGTCCCCCAAGGACAGCCAGGAGAGGCTGGCCAGGAGCCCTGGAACCAGCCGGCCAAGCACTGGGTACCGGTAGAGGGTGGGGAGGGGGGCGCCTGTTGGTCCGGGTATAAATAGCTCACCCTGGCCCTTGACCGATCATAGAGGACGCTTTGTGTGGAGTGGAGGGTGTCAAAAAAGTCCGAAAACAAAAAAAGAAAAGCCCCCAAAATCTGCCTTACATGCCAGAGCTGATCAATGCCCGGCTTTTCTTTTAAAAATCTGCCCACGTCTCTCCGGAAAGAAAGCTGCTTAAGGGGGCAGAAGCCCTTAACCCGCGATGATCTTCCCCGCGCGCCACTCCCCCCAAATATGCGCCCACACTGTGCGAACCCCCAGAAACATAAGCCCTGAGTCCCCAATCCTGATGCTTCCCCTCTTTCGCCTGGCGGATGCCAACGGCTCCATCAGGCGTGGAGCAGAGCGGGGGGAAGGGGGGGTGCGGGGGGCCAAGGCGAAGGCAGTGGGCTCGGCCGCAGGGCGCGGAGGACCGATGGCGCACGGAGGCTCCGGGCGCGCAGGGTCCGGCTGCCCTGGCGCGCGGCCTCCCGGCGCCTGACGCGCTTCTCTCTCCCTCAGTGCACGGGCTGGCGGCCAGCGCGGCGCCCCAGGACTCCAGCTCCAAGTCTCCGGAGCCTTCCGCCGACGAGTCACCGGACAATGACAAGGAGACCCCGGGCGGCGGGGGGGACGCGGGCAAGAAGCGGAAGCGGCGCGTCCTCTTCTCCAAAGCGCAGACCTACGAACTGGAGCGGCGCTTCCGGCAGCAGCGGTACCTGTCGGCGCCCGAGCGCGAGCACCTGGCCAGCCTCATCCGCCTGACGCCCACGCAGGTCAAGATCTGGTTCCAGAACCATCGCTACAAGATGAAGCGCGCCCGGGCCGAGAAAGGTATGGAGGTGACGCCCCTGCCCTCGCCGCGCCGCGTGGCCGTGCCGGTTTTGGTCAGGGACGGCAAGCCGTGCCACGCGCTCAAAGCCCAGGACCTGGCAGCCGCCACCTTCCAGGCGGGCATCCCCTTTTCGGCTTACAGCGCGCAGTCGCTGCAGCACATGCAGTACAACGCCCAGTACAGCTCGGCCGGCACCCCCCAGTACTCGACAGCACACCCCCTGGTCCAGGCCCAGCAGTGGACTTGGTGAGCGCCGCCCCTCCGAGACTCGTGGCCCTGGGCCCGGGCTCCACCCCGGCTGCAGCGGCCGTGGCGAGGAGAACTTGGTCCTGGTTGTTATTATAATAATTATCAGCACGGAGTCGCGTGAACTCGGGCTCCGTTGGGGAGGCGCCGGGACGCTGCCCGCACCTCCTTGGAGTGGCAGAGCCACCGCCCAGAGCCGCCCGGCCCCGCGCTCCTTTTGAACCTTTGAGAGGAGAGGGTGAACTCCTTCCGCCGTGTTTACAGAAAGTTTGCGCAGCTCCGCTCCTTGGCCTCTCCGCGGAGGGGAGGGCTGGGGCCCAAACCGACTCAGCGTGAACGTCCCGACTCCGGAAGGAGGAAAAGACCCACCTCCCTCCCCTGCCCCCTGCTTTTGTGAATTTTGTTAAATATGTTCGCGTGAGTAGCGATCTTGTCAGCAGTCTTCTTTTAAAGCAAGTGGAGAACGTTAACGTATAGAGGATCTTTGTCTCCTTTTTATAAGAAAATGCTAACTATTTATGGCCATGTGAACGTTCTGACAGCTGGTGGCAGATTTCGCTTTTCGTTGTAAATATCGGTGGTGATTGTTGCCAAAATGACCTTCGGAGCGGGCCTGTTCTCCCTAGAGGCCCACCTCCTTTCTTTGTGGTTTGTTTTGGTTTGCTTATGTTTGGTTACCTCTGTTTCCTCCTCTTTTTTTATTTTGTTCAGTGCAGACATTTCTCAAATATAAAAAAGGAACATGTATAGGCGCGAAGCCCCCTGCCCTATCACCCGGGTCCTGAGCCCCCAATTTGGGGCTCAGTGGTTCCGTGAGGTTCCCTAAGAGCGCCGGGCGCTGAAAGCTTTCGATTTTTTAAATAAGAATTTTAATAAAAATCCTGTGTTTAAAAAAAACCCACGCCCGGCCCTCCCGTTTGTCCTATTTTGTCGCCCTGCGCCAGGCCGAGGCTTCGGGCAAGGGCCCCGGCCAAGCCGCTTGCAGCTCTGTTCCCTGCGCTTCTCTTCTGGGCTGGGAGCGGGGGCCAGGCCAGGGGTGCCCGGGGCGCAGGGAAGGCCCCCCGGACGGGCCGGCCTCCTCCCGGCGGGCGGTTCAGGCCCCGCATCTCAGACCCGCGCTGGGGAGCGAGCGCTTGGCCTCGGGCCTTCGAGCCGGCAACCTTCGCCCGGGGTCGCCCGCCGGCCCTGGCGCCTCTCCGCCGGCCGGCCGCGCGCGCGGTCTGAATCCGGGGCCGCGGCGTCCTGGCTTTGGCACAAAAAGTGACTTTGGAAAATGCAAAGGCGAGGGAGCAAGCCCCCCTCGCTCGCCCGAATCAACGAGTGGCCCCTTCAGCCTGAGGAGCTGTTGAAGCCACTACACTCGATGACTTTCACTTTGTTGCATTTGATTTACCTCGCGCTAAGGGGGTGGGGAGGCGCTGAGGCTGAGGCTGAGACTAGTCGGCTTTCTCTCTATCCCCACCCCCTTTTCAAAATCCGCGACCCGAGGCGGCCCCGGAGACCGCCCCAAGATCTGGGCTCGGGGGCGGGAGGGGATTCGGGAGCTCTAGGCTTTGGCTGTAAGGAGGGGCGCCAGGGAGGGGAGTGGGGTGCTGCGCCTCCTCTAGGCTCTTTGGCTTGGGGGAGCCGGGGAGCAGGAGTCCGCGGCAATACCTGCTAACAGAGGCTCCCCCTGCCTTCCGCCCCCACCCACCCTTCCTGCGCTCCAAGCCCCCTGACCTGGGACTGGATCCCCATTCTCGTCATCTCCTACCCTTTGGCTGCGCGCAGTGCCCTAGGCCAGCTTTTGGGCCTGAAGTTGGGTGCATTGCTTGCTAAAAAGTTGAGTTTGAAGGTGGGGTGGGTGGGGTGCGCCGGCCTCCAAGACTGGGATGAGAGGAGCGTAAAGTGAGCGAACAGCCCCGGGTGCGCCCGGGGGAGGGCGCGTCGGCCCTTCTCCGGGAGACACTGGTTCCATCCCCCTTTGGCGGATGCTGGTGCCCACCTGCCACGCGGGCTCGCGCGGACCTGGGAGTAGGGGGTATCGCGCTCTAATAGCTCACGGATTTCCGAAAGCACACGAGGCTCTGTAGCTGAGAGCCAAGCGAGCGCTCAGGGGCGCCTCGGCGCTGAAAGCCTGTCCCCCGGGAAGTTGTCCATCTCCGTCCCCAGCTCCACTCCGCGCGGGTGGCGGGTGGACGGGGAGCGGGCGCGGGGAGGGGGCGGGGAGGAGGCCGAGCAAAGGGAGCGGTCCCAGCTGACTTCTCGCTCCCCCTCTAGTTGGTGATCAGCTTTAATTCAATATCTAAAGCAAACATGATTATCCGTGTGACCAACTCTGCGCGTCAATAGCACTCAGCGTTCCCCGCCCAGGGACGTGATTAAACGCTCCTCCCGCCTCGCCCACCCGCCTCGGGTAATCGGGGCCCGGAGCCTTTCTCATCGGCTCCTACATGTCCCTTCCCAGGTGCGGGTTCCTCCGGGCCCGCCCAGGGCTTCTAGTTGCTGCAGAGTCTCCCTTTGTTCCCCACGCTGGCGTGGGGCTGTTCTCGCTGAGTGGAGGCCAGGAGGACTCTGCCCTCCCCGCTTGTTTGCAACAGCGGATGCCCCAATTGCCGCAGTGCCAACCACTGAGCCTCCTGCTCCCAACTTTCCTGTAACCGCCACATCCTCCCGCAGGGAGGTGCGCGTGCAGAGCCTCTGGGAGTGGGGTTGTCAGGAGGCCTGAGGCCCAGCCCCAAGACCACAGTCTTTGACCCCAGGGCTTCCTGGGCCGAGGTGGACCATGGGAGCTTCCAGACTGCCGAGGGGGAAGGAAGCTGCGTGAAAAGTCCCAATCCTCGCAGGGCTCCCCGTGTGTGCTTTGGGGCAGTGGCCAAGCCCGTGGGCCTGCGGTTGGGGTGTGCACTGAGCGGCAGGGAGCCAGGGAGGTGGGCCCGGCACCCGCCCCTCTCTGTCCTCGGGTCCCCATGGAGTCAATAAAAGCGCCCGTGGAGCCCTGTGTGGCCCTAACCCCCGCGCCCTGGGAGCGCACCCGGCGGCGGGCCCGCTTTGGCAGTCTATCTTCGCCCAATCTACAGCGGGCCGCACAAAACGGCACAATGGGGGCGCTGGGAGCTGGGGATGTTAGAGGCGTGCATATTAAAAAGGGACAGAGAATGGGTCTCTGGGGACAGAGAAGGGAAGGAGAGGGGCCGCCCTCCCCCACCCACCCCGCACCATTCAGCGCGCTTATCGCGGGCAGTGAATCCCGGAGTCAGGCAGAAGTCTCCTTGGGGTTTTGTTGGGCCTGTCACTGGGTCCCTTTGTCATCCACGGGCTCCATGCTGGATTCCATATGGCCAGCTGGGCCGAGGGAGCGCGAGGAGGGACCCGCACAAAACCCAAATTGTGTCCGGCTTTCAAACCCTTTATTGTTGTCTGTGAAAGGAAGACGCATTAAAAATTCGTGCTATATCTATTGGGGAGGAGGTGGGAGGAGGGGAAAAAGCCACCCCTGTCTTTGATGGCTTCAGAGGGCGCCTGCCCGCCTAGGCCCCCGGACACACTGAGAGCTGGATCTCTCTCTCCTCTCCTCCCTTCTCCCCCCCCCCTCTCTTTCAAGAGATCTCTCTCCCACTTCCCCCACCCCCCAACCCAACCCCCCATCTTTTCTACCAAATACCAGCTGTAACTCTAGGCACCTTCAGTATCTGGATGCATTTCGGGCACTTTGCGTGTCTGGCTCCTCAGAGCCGGCAGCTCGGCTCCCCTTGTCTGGGAGCCCCGCATCAAAGCCTCGGACTGTGCCGGGCTCAGGACGCTGGGTGCCCAGGGCCTGGGGGATGCTTGGCCCTCTCTGGCTTCGCCGTCCCAGTAGATGAACCTCCAGCGCCCTGGTTCCCGCATGGATGCGTCCTGACGCCCTGGCGCCCGGAGCCGTCCTTGCACGCATTGCCTGGAAAGGCTCAGGGAGGCCCAAGGGGCCCTCAGGCCTGAGCCCAGCTGGTTCCGAGCCGTGTCCTCTCCGCAGGCAGCACCACTCGGTTACTAACACTTCGTCATTGGAATTGTGCATAGGGATCCCACGGGGATCTGGGTGTTAGGAAAACCAATTTAAAACTTCTTTTACCATCTTCACCTTACCCCCCACCGGGGTAGGAGGAGAGAGGGCCTTCCTCTTCCATTCTTAATGTCTCCGGCATCGTTTTGTTAGCAAAATTCAGCAACAGGGAGACAGAGCAAAGCTTCCACGGAATGTGGCCATTTGCGCCTCACCTAGGCAGTCCACGTTGTCACGGGGCAGTGGGAGATCTTTCGGGACACGTCCCTCCCCAAGAACTGGCTCAAACGCTCCCATAAGCAACCCAAACAACAACAAAAACCGTGTGCTAGACAGAAAGCTCATACGAGGTGGAAAGAAAAATAGAACCCACAGGTGTCCTCCCCTTGGGGCAATGTGATTCCACCCTAAGGAGCAGAACGGAGATGGTGGGAATTATGGCTAATCCAAAATCTGCCCCCGCCCCCCCCCCCCCCCGTTTCCTAGTTAGTACCACTGTGGTATTTAATAGAATCAGATAACTTGATAAGAAGCCCCTTCTCACCACCCCCCCCCCCCCGCCCCCACTCCAGCCAGGGAAATGACTTATTTTTCTTACCTATTGACTGTTGGGCTTAGTTGAGACCTGGGGTGGATTTCTCCAGCCTTTTCAAGAGCCTGGTCATTGAAAAACTAATCCAATATTTACCGAACATAAGGACAGTTCTCAGACGTATTTATTAAGGCCCGTGTCTAAGTGATTACTTGGACTGAAGACATAGGCCAGGGGAGGGGCGTCCAGGAGACCCGGTCCCCGGGGGTGGGGGTGGGGGGGTGGGGCGGGTGTCTCCCAACCTAGAGCTAGGAAACCGGGGCGTGAACTGGTGAGATGCTGAGGTTCCCCTCCCATGCTTAAGTGGCGTGTGGATTGGATATTGTGTTGGCAGGTATTTCAGGAAATATGTACTTGTGGCTTCCTGAGAGGCCGGGCGCAATGACACTCTAAACTGTGTCGATATATCATCTTTTATCCAGGATCTTCAAATAAACCCCTGATCCCCCCAGCGCATTATAGCCGCCGCTATCTCTCCAAGGAAGCGATCTGAGTTTTATTGCTTTCACCAACGCCCCAACTCTCTCTCTCTCTCTCTCTCTCTCTCTCTCTCTCTCTCTCTCTCTCTCTCGCTTCTGCGCCCGTGCACAGGCACACACTCACCCTCCCCTCCCACCCGGTCTGGTTTTTAAAGGCTTTAATTTTCTTTTTCCTCCCGGGGCATCGTTGTTAATAAAAAGACGAATAGGCCTCGGCGCCGCCCACCGAGCAAGTGGGAAAATGCAAGCCCGCGGGCGGATCCCGCAGCCGCACCGCCTCGGGCTGGAGAAACTTCCCGCGCGTCGCCGCCAGGAGGCACCCGAGCTCCGCGCTCTGCGGCTCCCAAGCCGGATTAGAGCTTTGGAGTCCGCCGGGAGGCAGGAGCGGGCCCGCTCCCCGTTGACCTGCCCTCGCACGGGGTGCTTGGAAAGTGCTCATCGACAGGGGCCATCTGCACTTGGGGGCACTTTTTAGTCCCCCCATCCTGTCTCCACCCCCGTTCACAAACGGCAGTGAACTGATCCTGGGGTCCAGGCGCGCGCTGGCCATGAGGAGGGTTCCACAAGGGGCACCAGGGCGCGCCGCGGCCGGAGCGGTTCTCAGGCACATATGGACCTTGTGGGCCAATGCGGGGTGCGCATTCTGCAAGGGTGCGGTAAGTCCATGTGGTTCAGGAAGTGAGAGAATGATGAGAAAGTATTCTGTGTTTGGTTTGGGGGAGAAGAGAAGGAGTAATAGG